AATTTTCTGCTTACCTTTTGCAGTTCCTGCACCTTACCTTGAACAGCCGCTGGAGCATCACTCTTGATTTTATCGAAAACAATAGGAACATCCTCAAGTTTGACAAACCCCAATGCATCTAAATTTTTCATCGCTATTCTTGATTGTTCATTCTCCAGAAATTCACGTTTGAGACCTAATTCCTAAATGCAAGGAAAAACAGAGAATTATGCCTGTCCCTGGAAATGACACTTCCCATCATACTTGAATTTTTCGCCACAGACATTGTTTGAGATGAAAGAAACACCTATGTAGTTCCGCCTTCGGAAGAACAGAACTTAATGCATTCGGCTGCTTTTTCAAAATCGAGATTAATATGATGTGGCAGATTTTCAAGATGTGTATTGATTTCCGTAAACACCTCTTCGTAGGTTGCTTGAGTTTTATTTGGTAGAATACAAAATACCAAGGGTACTGTTTTACCTCTAACATAACCATGAATTGCATACAGCTGTTGAAACAGTTTGGGTGCTACCTAAAGACGCGAGCGCACCTAATCTTTACGTCGAAAATGGTTGCTTTGTCTGCCATTCCCTCTCAAAAATCTTACAGAAATGTCCGCTGCACGTAAAAGTTATAAATTTGAAGTTAAGTGATGTTGTGCGCTGGAGATGGAGATACTTTATCAGGTTTTAGAATTTATGAATTAATGAATTTTGAGAATATATGAATTTACAGAATTTAGGAATTTATGAACTTTTAAAATTTAGGAATTTTATAGCCGCTGAGTTTATAATGCATATGCGCCGCAATTTTATTTTATATGGTACACTTTCTGTCATTAGGACGTATGCGACAACGGTCACAATTCGAGAGATGAAAGATAAAAAGATAAAAAAAACTGGATCGTTGATCGGCATAGGAGGACAGGGCATTTAAATACTGTTTCAAGCAGCTGTTTTTCTGCTCACAAACTTGTGTATTGATGGTTTCAAATCATCATAAAAATCAGTGTTGTAAATTCATAAATTCTGTAAATTCTGAAGACGTTGTGTTGGAAAGGAAATCTCAAATTTAGAACTTTGCTTTATGACGGACAGCCCTCAAATCTTAAAGTTAAGCTGAACTGTAGAGTTCGAGAATCTGTTATTTTTCCACTAATCGAGAAGCGTTTCAAATTGTCAGACATCGCTGCGATATTCCACATTCCTAAAAAGTTTGCATTTGTTTCAGACTTTATGTAAAGGAAAGTCTTCTATATAATTTTAAAGGTTTTAAATGAGTTTTTCTCATCCAATCACTTCTACAGATACTGTATCTGTACTAACAATTTCTTATCGATTTGCTTCATGTTTTGTAGTACTGAAGCACGTCAGGGTCCTAGAGTTCGCTTAAGTTTATGTCTTCTTTTTCACATAAAGCTCTTACATTTCGCTTACTTTAAAGGTACCATCGCATTGCCAGCTGCTACTTTGATCAAGTCGGTCGAGTGCATATTCGGATGTAAAAATCAGAACACGTCGATCGACATCTTGATTATCGTAAAGAAGAAATTTTTATCCACGTGAATTAACTTTGAGTTCATCGGGTAAAACAATATCAGCGAACGTTGTCGGAGTCGGCCGTGCTACGTCATTTTCTTTTCGTGTTCGTTCGATCGCTCGTTGTGTAGTCGTGTATTGTGGTATCAACGCTGCAGCTTCGGCCGAAACATTCATACGTGCGTCCGAAATGATAGTACGTGGTGAATCGTGTGACTGTTTTGCTCTTTGACGAATTTCATAATTATAGCGTGCTTTTGCGACGTCTTCGCGGTTATGTGCATCAGTGTGGCTACTTGCCAACTGGTAGAAACCTTACTGCGTTACACCCGCTCGTCTAGTACAGTGTGCATTAACACATCTCTACCGACTTTTTTCTCTTCGATAACGATATCCGTCGCATAGCAACTGATCGGCATCTCGGACAGATTTGATAATTGCTCCAATGGCTGGTGGATCTTCTCGTACGCGTGTAGCCTGAGCTTCTGTCTCATCACGTAAACGTTTCGTTCTCAACTCACTTTTGGCCTTTTCTTTCGCTATCTTCTCAGCTTCCTCATTTGCAAGAATTCTTTCTTGAGTTGCACGTTCTAATGCTTCGCGTTCCGACTCCCGTGCATCTTCTCGTCCTTTTTCCAACTTCGCATCTCTTGCAGCCTGTTGCATAGACTCCTCCACCGCTAATCGTTACCTTTCTTTCGCTCTCTCACGAACAAGTCTCTCCTCTTCCTGATAATCACGAACACGTGCCTGAAATTGTTGCTCTTCATAAGATCGTTGCTCGTAAAGTCGTTACTCTTCTTGTTCTTCTCTCCGCCTTTCTTCTTCCTGACGACGTAGTTCCTGTAAACGAATCTCTACTTCATGTCGACGTCGCTCTTCGAGAGCAAGCTTTTCCTCTAATAATCTCTGATCCAGACGGTTTTTTTCTTCAAGACATTGTTGTTCAGCAATTCGTTCCTTTTCAATAGCTGCCTGCTCCTGGAGCAAACGCTCTTCTTCTACTCGTTGATCAGATAGATACTTCTGAAGGTCGAAATAACTACCGGTACTACTGTTTGATGCCTCTTCATCCAAATGTTTCATGACATGATTGAAAGTTGACTCCAACGAATCTGAATGTGTTACCTGTCCCACGTTGGACTTCGCCGATTTTGATCGTGTCAGCACAGTATATGCCATCGTGTTACAATCTAAATAAATCGATTGAATACTTCATAACATTTGCACGTCGATGTAGGCATGCAATACCAATCGTTATTGAAGATATTGTACAATATTATTGAGCATATAAGAATATTCGAATCCAATACTATTGGGTACCCAATACTATTGTACAATAATATTGTGTTCCACAATACACTGAATTCCAACTTTTTAACCTTAATATCATTTACATTCATAGAACAGTGAGGAAGCATATCCCAATCGAGATATATATTCCGATCGAGCTAGGTATGCACCGGTATCGGTATCTACACCGAAATACCGACTATTTTACTAGGACTTTTTTCCGTTGAAATGGGATATTTTGATTAATCGACGTTTGAGCGACCGACATTTGAACCACCTCAACAATTGAGCGAAGCGCATCACTTATAGCTGCTCACCCTGATCCGCCCTCACTCACCATCACCCACCCTCAGTCACTCACCCTCACCCTCACACAGCCTCATCGAAATAAATTCTTTACATTTGAATTCAAAGTTCAAGTGTTCAATTCTATCAACTGTGTAGTGTTCTTTTGTGCTTTGCTTCTTTCGGTTCTATCCTTATGTCTCTCAATCCCAATATATTGGATTTCTAATATATTGGATCTACAATAATATTCGAACCCAATATATTATATTGGTGCATGCCTACGTCGATGTATGATTCAATATTTTAACAGTACTATTTCTTTTTTAGAGAGCATTTCTCGAACCTGCAACCAAACGACATTTATTTCATATCATCCTCTTTTTTTCGCTACCCAATTACTGCAGACATTGGACGATAATCAAATCCTTCTTTTCTTCTTATGAAATATTTTCGTTTTTCAACCTAATTTCATAATCGTTTCGAGCAACTGTTCTGACGTCATTTTTGTATAAGAATTCGATATATCGCTAAAGGGAACATTTATTTATTCAAAATCATTATGTCAATTCGTTTCGTATAACAAATATTATTATTATCACAAAAACGGTGTTCAAAAAATTTAAAAAAACAAAAACAAAATTACAATAAGCGAATAAACTACCGGTTACATTTCACGATACGTTCCCAGAACTCATCACGATCGATCGTTTTTAATCCATTCACATCTTTGATGAGCGATTGTGAAAAACAAGGATTGGCGGCACATTTTTAATCATTGCCGAAGAAATATTCAAGATGATTAAGTATGTTTTGACAGGATGAAACGCATCCACATGGTGAGTTACATCGGCTGTCAAATTTAAAGCACGAACAGAAACGAGCATCCTTTAGTGCAGTTACATTTCTCCTTTTTTTCGTTACTTGGATTTTTCTCTGTTACTCGACCACCCACTTTTTTATTTCAATGTTACATGTTAACGAGTATTGTAATTGTAACGAGTGTAAATTTTGTAAAAATGATAGTTGTTGTTCAAGAAGTGCTGCTAAACGTAATGTGTGCAATCCAGATAAACATAGATGGTTAACTTGATTGAATGCTAAATTCAATGGATACTGAGATAGAAACAACTGCATTCTCGTATCGTCTTCCATTCTCAAAGATTTTTTACATTGCTAAATTTAATTTTCGACGGTAAAACAGTCTGAATACAATAATTAAAATCATATCCTTCAGTTAAATCAATGTGAAGTGGCGTGCCGCTAAGAATTGAATCGATTTTGGGATGAATAAATGCGAATGTATCATATAGTTCCTTTAAATCAAAATATTCGAATAAATCCATCCATAACTCAGTTTGTAACGATATCAGAGATTTTGGACGTTTATCAGACATTTTTATAAAATCTAACCAGTAAATAAACAGCGATAAAACTTTAGTAACTCAAACTTCAGTAAAGTGATATATAAGAAAGTAAATGTTCAGCTACCTAAAAACAAAAAAATTTTATTCTGTCAATATCTTTTTATTCTCTTGCTGCCAATCTAGAATCATAGAAAATAATATATCTATCCGTTTCGCTCTTTGTGTGTAGATGAGTCTTCGTGTAGTTTGTGACAGAACACACCTATACACAAGCATTTGTATAATTTCTGTGTGACGTCTTGACATTTTGTACACTCAGTTCATAGTGAGTACTTTACGTTCCGTAAGTGCTGCCAGTTTTGAGTCGAAAGAGTCACACTATCAACGGCGTAAAAATTTGGGCTTTGAGTTAATGTTCGAAAATGACCTACCAAAACTTAGTCTTGAAAAGGTAACTGCAAGAAAAAAACATCGTAAAAACAGAACACAAATGAAACTGTTCGTATGAGAAGTTCCTGTTTGAAAAAAAAATCAACAGTTAAGAATTTTAAAAGACGGCTTCGTAATTATTTAGAATTTATTTCATCAAAAGTAAACAGACATTAATAATATTATATATATAACAGTTCTACTTTTAATTGTTGTGGGTAATGTTCAAATGCAGCTAAGAATATTATCCAATTGAACATTTCGTTGTCAAACCGATATTATATTTCATTATTTCAATTAATTTTGGTGATAGTTCATCTAAAATTTTTTCGTCAAGAAAATTCTTTGTACAAGTATCAATGGCTTCCACCAGAGGCGATGATTTCACACACATATCCAATTGTTCTTTCATTTCACTCGCTGATAATTTTATGAAGCAACACTGAATTGATCTGGTTCAATTCAAAGAGAGCTGCGAGTGGAACTATACAGTGAGGCTTCAACGTTTGCCGATCACCATCACGAATAAGTTCGATGATGTTAACACAAAATTTTTGAATTTCTTCGTTTTTATAGTAAAGCGCTAGGTTTATTAAAATTTGCTTCAGAACATATTGACGTTAAATGCCAGTTCGCTAAAAAAATGAAACAGAATTTTAAAAATTATACAGCGTAATTTACCTAGGTGCAATAAAAACGGCCCGTTGACGTCCAGTTAACGGTCACACCAAAAAAACGGCGCGTTAACGTTCTCAAAACGGGAAAAAAACGGCCAGTAAACAAGCCGTGAACGACACGTTTTTAGTCTGGACGTTTCAGGTTAGAAAAATTGCCCGAAAACGTCCAGTTAACGGCCACCGTTTATTGACCGTTTTCACATACATTTTCAATATCTCAGCTCAGCAAGGTGATAGAGAGTTCGTTCAAACGGCATTCGAAACAAAATTGAAAACTGAATAAACGTAGACGTTTATGAAAGTTTCAGTGCCTGATCTTCCTAGATTTTGAAGAGTTTTCCAAAAAAGCTTTTTTAAATTTTGCTATAAATTTTGAATTTTTTTTAGTGTATACGTTTATAATTAACTTTGTAGTACTTCTATTGAATACAATGAACACATTCGAAGTCAATGAGTCTATTTTAGGGGGTTTGGCCGCTATAGCATAACGATTTCACTCTTGTATACTTTATGCTATGAGACAGCAATCATCTACATTCACACCATTAGCAGAAAGAGAAAAAAAAGACAGCTGTTATTCTGTCTGTCTAGGCATTTTTTCTCTTCTCTTCTCTTCTGATATTCTTTACACAAACACTCATAGCGAAATACTGAAAAATAATAAGTGTTTTTATTGCAACATGCCTACTTCTTGCATAGTACCCGGATGCTCAAAAAAGTTAGGCGATACCGAAAAAGGACGTCGAAAAGTCGGATTCTTTCAGTTTCCTACAGAACGTGATACGTTGATAAAGTGGTGTAGTATTTTATGTATTGATATCAATAATCTTAGTTCATCAAACCACGAGCGAGTGTGTAGTGAGCATTTTGCACCTGCGGACGTGAGTCGCTCTGAAAATAAGACGTATTTGGCCAAAGGTGCTTTGCCGATTTACATTAGTAATTCAGGTATGTAGTTATTTTTGTATACGTCAGACTCTGACGTACAGATTTTCTTCTCGTCGAGATGGTTCAAAACGGGCGGGTTCCTGAGTGAAATCGTTATGCTATAGCGGCCAAACCCCCTAAAATAGACTCATTGACTTCGAATGTGTTCATTGTATTCAATAGAATTACTACAAAGTTAATTATAAACGTATACACTAAAAAAAATTCAAAATTTATAGCAAAATTTAAAAAAGCTTTTTTGGAAAACTCTTCAAAATCTAGGAAGATCAGGCACTGAAACTTTTATAAACGTCTATGTTTATTCAGTTTCAATTCTGTTTCGAATGCCGTTTGAACGAACTCTCTATCACCTTGCTGAGCTGAGATATTGAAAATTTGAAAATTAATTAAAAAATTCAGATTTTGCCTTGGAGACTGATTTTTTTTAAAATATTCGTCTTTCAATGCTGAATACGAATATCACCTTCAAAATTAATTTCTGACGTTTAGTTTTTTCTTAAACTAATTTTACTCAGAGCCTGTATGTCAAAAACCGTGGTTTGCTAGAAACCCTACTTCCGAGAACTTTGGAAACAACCTTCCACTAGACAAAAGAAAGAACATCTCGAGAAACCCTTAAGCGCCAAAAATGAGAAACGTCGGACTGGTAGGGTAGAAGTTAGCCTAGACTGAGTTTCTCATGTACCGTAACGGCCGGTTTACGGTCTGAAGCGTCTAATATGTATCTGTCATGAAACATTCAAAAATCATTCTAAAATTGCTCTAGTATAAAGTACTGAAAAATGACCTAAAAACGGGCTGTTAACGGCCTGTTTACGGTTTATAGAATCTAATATGTGTGTTTTTCGTTTTTCCTCCAGCATATTTCACACTATGTAGATGCAGTGAAATAAACTAGATATAAAGTAGTACGTAAGCTTGAATAGCACTTTGATAATGTTAGTTTTCGATCCGATATGGCCATATAGTTACAGTTGCCATACATATAGTTACAGGCTGCCAAACACAAGTTCTGATGTTCGAATCTCGATATTTTCAAGTAAGCAAAAAAAATTAGTGTTGTTAGATGATGTATATAGTGTAGTGCCTAGATTAGATCGATTAGTGAGAAAGGACAGATAAGTCAGGGAAAAATTTTTTAATTTTTTTTAATATAATAACCGAGGTCAAAAAAACGGCCCGTTAACGTTCTCAAAACGGCCAGTAAACGGTCAATAAACGGCCAGTAAATGGTAAGAAAACGTTTACAAAACGATCCGTAAACGGTGAAAAAACGATCTATTTAAGACCCTAAAACGTTACGAGTTTTAGGTTCTTAAAACGGTCTGTTTACGGCACGTTAACTTACCGTTAGCGGCCATTTAACTGGCCGCGGCACCGTTTTCTTGGACCTGGGTATATTTAAGCGTTATAGATATCTGTATTAAGCGAACGTTGATTGTCATTTTGAAGTATCCAGCTACCTGCCCACAATCTCGACTGTAAAGGTTTCATCACAGCTATAGAGGATATTCATTTCCTTTTACAAACTTTTGCACACATACGCACATGGGCTCTATTGTAGTACTGAACTGAAGCAGAATACGGCGTAACGACCACAGAAACGCTTTTATTCTCTCAATGTAACTTATGCTGATCAAAGTGCTTAGACTGTTCCACTGATTAACAACATTGGAAGCAACTAACTGTAACTAAATTCCGACATATCCGGATGACAGAAAATGTACGTACCTGCTTGTAGTAGCAGTTATAATGCCACATAAAACAGTTTTCTTTAAATAAATTAATTGTTTGCACTGCTGCTTTTCTAGTTGATTCTTTAGTATCATCACAGGCTGAAAGTAGCCCCATTAAATAGTTCATCAAAAGGTTTGGATTGTACGGTAAACGATAGAGTTTGTCAATAAATTGTTCGATCAAGGACAAAATTAATTCTTTTGCCTTTTGTTCAGAAATCTCAAATTGAAAAACTTGTCCACCACGAGTTGTTTGTCAGTTTGAATCCTCGTCAGCCAGATAGAGCAGGGCATACAGTTTTAATTTCTTATCACTTTTACTAATTTCTCAAACGATTACATACAATTCTGTGTATAATTTACGTTGGTTCACCTGACAATAACAATTTGTTGTCATTATAATCCTCTTTTGTTTCACGTTATGCTCATAGATTAAAGTTGTTAAAGACGATGGATACAATTTGATATTATCTAAAAAATTTTGAAAAAGAATATCATTGAATTTTTGTCTTAGTTTATCATAATGAATAATTCCATAGACATAAATCAATCATTTCGAAGCTAATTCATCATACAAATTATCTTGATCAGTTAAACCACGTATCAGTTTTGTCTGCAAAGAAATGACATAGGATTTAAACAGGTCTTGTTGATATAAATCCGATTCCAAATACGAATGATGACAGCGAACAAGAAATGCAAGAAGCCAGACAAACGAAGCTTGAACGAAGATTATCAATATCAGACGAATAATGTACGATGTTATCAAATAGAGATTGAGGTTCATTATCATCCTTATATTTTATTTGTTTTTTCTCCGATATGAAATACGGATCTTGTACAATTGATGCTCTATCATTCATAATGCAACATTCTTTCTAGTCATTGCTCGAACAAGTTATTTTTCATTCACTTTTTTCTTCTACATAAACCACGTTTTAAAAATAAATACAGATAGCTTCTGTTTGGTGAATTCAGCACATGAACAATACAGACTATACGTTATACTTTTCTCCTTTCATGTACGTTATTTAGAATGTGGCACTTTGATACATGCTTATATGTTTCTGTATATGTTAGACCGAACTATAATGGGAACGAGTCTTTTTCGCTGTAGTATATTCATATGTGATACAAAATAGCGATGATGAAGCGGCCATAGAAGGAAATGCGATGAAAATTTAATTTAAAAATTTTCTGTGTGGTTATGAAGGCTCAGATAAATTGAAAAATGTGTAAAATCGCTTTCTCTATAAAATCCGATCAAGATTAAGTTGAAAAAACAGTGAGTCAAAATCAAGAAGAAGTGCTCCCCCTCCATTTTTTCCATGATCTGCAAGACCGAATGTTCGAAAACAATATTCTTTTCTGAAAACTTTTATTTGTTGTTCAAAAGCAACAGAAACGATTGATGAATTGTAATTATTCACGGAAAAACGATTTATTGGGAAAAAATACTGATGTCCGCCTGCTATTAGAAAAATGTCTACTGTGTAATGGTCATGTATATTCAATATTATCTATATGTAACATGATTTGAAGTGGATCACCATTGAAAACATTGTCTTGTGTCATCAGATCTTGAATTGTTGACACATATAATTGTGTAAAATGTAAATAATTCTCATTTACCAACAGCAAAAAATATGATAAACGATCCATTTGATGTATAATATCAACTTGTCGTACAAAGGCAGCTAATAGTTCGGTTATTCCCTAAGAGAAAAAAGTCACAATCTATTTATCATATTTAAGGCGAGTACGAATTTCTATTTGAATTGCATATGAGGATTGGCAGTACAACCCGTAGAGTTATTCTTTATAGCAGCATTTACAATAAAAACATAAAAGTACCACTAATCATTAACTGCAGTAGAACCGGCCCATACGTCTTCATCGATCACAAAATGATTTGAGTGTTAGAAAACTCATACTTCTAATCGGCAGAATTCCATTAATTTGGGCAACGACGTTGCCCAAATTATACGCCGGACAACGTATATGTTCAGGTAAAGTGTAGCTCGTAAGTTTTTGTTTTTCTCGTGAACCACAGTAGCTACAATAAACCTGAGGATAGATTCGTATAGTGCTAACTTGGTTGTGTATATACATTATCGAAAAAACCTTAATCTATCTTTAATCCGCTTAGAGAAAAAAAGATTTCCTAACGGTGCAGGCTCTCTAGAAACCTGTGTCAAACATTTTTCCTATCATTCAGTAAGGCAGGACAACAAATTTCTCTACAAAGTGAGACGCTTCGCTATTCTCCACGATCTTTTTTCATTGAGTTATGGCTTTTACAGTATAAGCTTCAAAATAAGCACCATAGGATAGGGTAGACCTCCGACTTATATAGTTTTCCCAGGGTAGGACCAGAGCTGAGGAAATTCTTAAATAACACTGCACGTCTATATAGCGGTAACTGTGCGATGTAAGTAATATATTAATACATTTCTACGATCGAACAAGTGAGGTGAATTCCACTGACTGTGTTATGTGCAAGGTTATATCTGTCGCAAGATCTGAGATCTATATAAAATGGAACATGTATAGATTCTATTAATATCTATTGCAATAAAAGAATATGAGAAAAGATCCGTACGGTGCCTCTCCATCCAGGTAACTGATTTCTTAAAAAACGGATCAAAAACTAGCGCGACATTGGTAGCAAATATAAGGTATAATAGTGTCTCATAGACAGCATGAAGTCAACTTTTCAAAGATGTTACTACCTTCCATCAAACATTCCAAGGAAAGTTATTAATATTTTCAAGAAAACTAATTAAAAATAAAAAGGAAAGACGAATGTTCGAATCTACTCTTTGTAATCTCTATTTAGGCCGATGAAGCCTAAACATACGTAACTGTATCATCTGTGCAGCCAAATACGCCACGTGTGTGATCTAAGCCATTGTGCTGTAATTGATACACGAGGCTATTTACCACACAGTATATCCGGCTACAGCGCTGGGCGTGTCAGGATTAGGACTCAAGCCCGTACTGAAAGATTTTTCGGTGGATTCCGACTTGGACTTGAGCTTTTGTATTTTCGAGTTCGATCAATTCAACCTTTAAGATAAATGAACAAAGAAAGGAGCGGGGGTGATTTCTATAGGAAAACGGTCCCCGCTGCTTTTGATTAATTTGTACTGGTCGTGATAGCTGATCATATCCACATTTATCTCACATGTTACTTTTGGTTCCTGCTTTCTTGTAGCCTGGGAAAACCGAATGGTGAAGACCGCAAGTCCCTAGCCTTGTTAGAAGCAGAGCTATAGCCATTTTCACCTCGTAGCAGAAAAATGCATTTTCGTCATTTTCCGGTGGATCTGGTCTAACTTGCAGAACGTCTGCTGGCCACATTTCCTAACGTAGAACCCCGAAGTTGGTATCAAATGAAAGAGCGCGTCGAGTTCTGTATATTTCGATGGAGAAACGTTATGCTACACCTCGGAGTCTTGGGATAGAGATTTCCGAAAAATCCGGTTTTCTAGAAAGCCTAGTGATCGCAAAGTTTCTCTCAGAAGCTTTTCAACCATATCATTAGATAGTCCCTTCAGTTCTGCATAAAATGAGATGCTGATCAAGTTTCTACGATGTTGTCTCAAAACGAGGCGGTCGGCAGCGATTCGAAACCCCCTTTAGTTAAGTTCGTATCGGAGGACCCTGCGAACACAATGTGATCACGTTGAGAGATTATTGAGTTTTTCGTTTGTGCATTAAATGGATTAGTGCACTGTGTGGACAGTTTATTTCCACCTGCAAAGAAACAGATTAAAGGAGCAGAAACAGCAGGTATAGGAAAAGGAAAGTGGCTGGTTTAGCGTTTTCTATGTCGTTTTTGTGATCTCATACTCGACTTGTGCAGAGAGAAGTCTATCTCTATTCCAACAATAAAGGAGTTTTAGTAGTATCTAATAATTATCTCCCTTTTGATGACTTTCTGTAAACTTCTCTCTCTCTGCTTTGCCTTAATTAAAACTTAGTTTGTTTATTTTCAAGAAGCAGGAGAGAGAGAGAGAATTTCGTAACAGAAAACCTTCCCAAAGATGCACCCGCCTGAAAAAAAAAAGGACTTATAGTTTATAGGCCTTTCAATTCTTATACAAAGCGAGCTGGTCACAATATACAAACAGGTGTTGCCAGTCATTAAAGATATGTAAAGAAGCGTTTGGGTGCAGTGGCGGCGCGAAGACGTTGGGAGCATGCGGGGGTAAATCCAAAAATGGGAGTAAAGGGTCCATGACTTCCTCCAAAACGGGAGTAAATGAGTCTTGATTTTATTCGAATCGGAGTAAATCACTCTCCAAGTTTCTCCGAAACGAGAGTAAATCGTTCTTATCTTTTCCCAACTTTGGGAGTAAATCGTTCATATTTTTTTCACAAACTGGGAGTAAATTTGACCAGATTTTTTAAAAAGTATGGGGGGGTAACCCCCCCATCCGTCCCCGGTCGAACCGCCACTGTCTGGGTGTTATGTATGCAGTACACTGTGTCATAATTGTAGACTGTATTGTGAGAGAAACAGCTACAGATAGTTAGGTCCGATACTCTGGTTTGTCAGTCACAAATGTTTCTTTCCATCGAAATAGTGTCGGAAACTCATAAATCTTTCAAAGATTTAGCGATTTTTCAAGATAATTTTTTGTCTAAATTCTATCGCCACTACTACCAAAAACAAGCGAGAAGTTTAGTATACC